TAAAACATTGACACGGACGACGACGACGACGGACAATCACTCATATGATAAGCTCCGCTCGAAAAGTGGAGAAATTTGACTTTGGCAGTCAAAAAAGCTAAACTTTTATGAATTGCATTCGGTGCATTCATAACACCCAACAATTGTTGATCTAGTGATGATCCATTTTCATCAAACTTTTGTTTTGGGAATTATTTATTATTATTTTTTGTGCCAGGCGACAGTTCCGGACATTGAGTGTCACTGTTGTCTCTCCTGACTTTTTTTCTTTGTATGTGCAAATTGCAAGTGCTAGTGACGACACATAGTGCATTTTGCCACAGAAGTCATATTCATGTTTGGGACTACATGACAGGGCTGTGTGGCCATCTCTCTGTCAAATGGCAATTTGTAATGCGCTATCCTGGCGTCAACCAGGCCCGGTCAAACACAAGCACCTGCGGACCTTAACCAAGGTTGCCCCAAAGTCGCATTTGTTAGTGAATGAATCTCGGCCAGTGGAATTGGCCTTCCCATTGAGTCTGTGGCACACTCACCCAGGGTAGGGGTCGACCCCTTGATGTTCAGCCTCAGGTAGGATTTGAACTCGGGTCTACCGATCATGACTCTGATGCGACAACCACTATGCTACCAGTGACCGGTTTATTTTTGTTTTGTAAAACCACATCTAGATCTATCCCATAAAAGCCAAGATTTTGTCATCTTCCACATAATAATCCTGTTTTTTACCGTATTTGTTCGATAAACAAGACCTCCATCTCACGGAAAATTATGTCCAAACTTATCAAAGAAATTATAATTTTAAAACAAGCAGCCTGTCAGCAGAGATAGCTCCAGTGTTAGCAAAGCACATTGCAATTAAAGAACAGAAGATATCATTAGAAAATGAACAATACGTATAGTGTCAAAGCAATCAGACTTGCTGTTTTCAACAAGAATTCAAAAATATCACTTTTCACCAAAAATATTCATCAAAATTAGATAATTGAAGATATCACCACGAAATGAACAAATCTAAGAGAGGTCTACCCAAGGTACATATACCCCAAGTATCAAAGCATTCAGGCTTGTAGTTTTCAAGAAGAAGTCAAAAAAGTAAAACATTGACACAGACGACGGACAATCACTCATTTGATAAGCTCCGCTCAACAAAGTCGACAGGGGAGCTAAAAATCATAATAATTTGTAAAATGTTAACTGTACCAAATGTTAGCCTTGAAAAATGATTGTGTTCAAACCTTATCATCTGTCATTCGACTTACCTGAATACTAATATTGAATCTGTACGTTGGTGACTGGTTGACACCATCAGAGACATGAAACAAGAATCCATCCCAAACTGGTTCTATATTGGTATGTACATCCTGTACGTAGTACAGCACATTGTCAATAACATCCTGTATAGTGAACACATGTTGTGCTACCCCACCTGGTGTCTTTTCTGAACCATACTCTGTGTGGAGAATGACACTCGGGTAAAGTAACTAAATGCACAACTGAAAACTGACTGACTTTTTTTTTTTTCTTTATTTTGACAAACTCAGTGAATTTTTCTTATGTTCTAGCTGTATATTCTTGGTGTTGAATGATTTATTATTATTACAGTGACACCTTGCTAAGTCACACCTCAATGAGTCACGATTTCTACCAAATCACGGGTAGTTTGATGGCTCCCAAAAACTCTATTGTGTTTTGCTGGCAGTTTTGAAGTTTCATTGCATCTTGTATTTAATTGGCTGTTAAAGGCTGGAAGGGACAACTTAACACCTACTGTCTGTCAATTAAAGAGATACAAAGCGTGACGCGGCCTGACTAGACTTTAAGTACTTCTTGGTCGGTTTGCACACTTTTGATATAGCTCTATAAAACTCGCTGCAATGAGTTGAATCCATGCAGACATCAACACTGTGAAATTTTTCAATAAAGAAAACATACTATAAACCCATGTGTGTATCCGACCGGGTATGTACTTTTTATTCATTTTCAATGCATAACCCCCCCTCCTCACGAGGCCCGTCTGTAAGTCGCAAACCCCAAAAAGTCACAGTTTTTGCTTGGATCCCAACACCCACGACTTATTGAGGGGTCACTGTATTGTTATATAACAGACGACTTTGTAACAACAAGAAAGATAAAAACAAAGCCAAAGTCAAGCATTTTGCCCTAATGTACTAAAGTGTAAGAAGAATTGCTGTCAAAAATGCAAAATAATCAGTAACATATTCTCAAATACCTTGTCTTGCATTCTCAATGTAACCAAAACTTGGTCCGGTGTCCATGACAACTAATAATTCAGTCAGAGGAGTATCCACATCTGTTGCTAGGAGATCTTGAGATGAAATCAAGACATCACCACCTTCTTCAACCTGTCAAAGTTAATCAAATGTTAGTTACTCATTTGGTTGCATTCTTTATGTGCATTTACAACAACTTCAGGACTCAATATAATTTCTCTATGTGTCTTCCAAAAAGAGGCAGCATAGCAAATTAAGAGTAAGATGTGCTGAAAGCATATACAAAGTAGAATACAACATTTTTATAATATATGATGTTGTTTTTAAACATCGCGGAAAATCATGCATTCTGCGCCGCCATCTTTGTTACCTCGATCAGAACCCCCGGTAACCCAGCATGCATTGGTCACAATGTTGCAACGTGCATTATGTCGCTTTAGGGCGGCGTTCTTCTGTACTAAGGCACCCTATGAATGGGGTATTTCCAGAGGTCAGATTTTTTTCCCAACCAGTTTTGTCTGCTGTTGAATTATTCATACTTTTCTTTCCAATGCGACTTAATTTCACTTGTTTTGTTTTTTTAATTTTGGGGTAATTAATGTCACCGGCGATTGAGTGATAGCAAATCAGAGTGCAGCAAATCGGGGTTGATCTTCGTGACGTACGCCATGAGTTGTTTTGTCACATTGTTGCCGTTGCGTGTAATGGGCAAATTATTGCTACTCTAGTTAATTTTTTGTTTGATTTGGAGGCTCTGCATCTTTGAAAGACTTCGCAACATATTGCAGACTTCCGTTTTTATCACTGTCTTTGTATGGCTAACAAAAGCGGGATTACCTAAATCGATCAATACATGTTATTGTTTTAAATATGTGCAAGACGAGACTGACACTTGTAAACAAAAACATAAGCATCACGGGAGAGTGACCAAGCGTCACGGACAAAGGGCAAGCATCACGGCCGAGTGTCCAAGCGTCACGGTACCGTGTCGCTTCAGAGGCCTGGGGAGAACACTGTATATTATATTATGTTATTCAAAAAGCTGTGATTGGCTATCATAGACAAATCACAACAACTGATTTGTCAAGATGACATAATTCAATAATTCAGCATCACTGATTGGCTAACACTATAAACCAGGTGCACTTACCAATAAACCATCACCAACCGTCACAACTGGTGGCTGGTTGTTTACAGGTGTGATAGTAACACTCAATACTTGATTGGGTAGTATATTCCCATTACTGTCACTAACATTCATAAAAATTCTGTCAGTTGATGGCCGACTACCAATCTCTCCTTCACTCTGGTATCTAATTTGCATAATCAGATAAATACAGAAAATTGATTGGTGGGTGGATACGACAATCTATCTGGTCACAGCTGATTTCATTGGTCAAAATATAATCAAGTTATTATACAATTGGTCACAGAAAGTCTGTGCAGCCATCTCTGTATTATTATATTACTAAATGTAGCTACAGGACTCACAAGAGATAAGCATATTTATTTATTGAATGTATGCAAAGGGTAAACTGGATTTGACTAGAATGGTAATATTCATTGTTATGTGCATAAGCCACAATGAAATTCTCTCATCCAGGGAACACTTGAAGACTGGAAGACTGGAAGATTGCAATTATTAGTTATCAGCCTCAACCATAGCAAAATATGCCCATATTAAAACAAGGACTGACTAGGTTCTATTCATTTGTAAATAATCATAGAATTTGTTTACATTTTTGTCAAACTTTACGCAGATATGAAACTACATTGTTTTGCCACTATGTTTCGCTCAAAACTGAATTACATGTATTTGTCAATTCTGGATAACGTTTGGTACTTTCTGTCAATTCTCACTATTGAATGACTGTAAGGCTGAATCCATCCCTATATCAGACTAAGTGATTGCCTTACAACATACTATTTACCTGACATCATAGTTATTAATATCAGCCTGTGTGAAAGCCGATCCAGAGACAAGATCTTCGTATTTATCAGACACACGTATCTGTAATCTACCATTACGTGGAGTTGACAGCAATGTTAGTATCACCTCATCATCTGGACTCTCATCATCAATAAATGCAAGGTGATCTCTGGTCACGGTAGCTGTACTAACTTCTGGTACAAGCAACGCCAGGAGGGAGTCATCCATTAATACAGGTGAACTCTTATCAACGGGTAATACAACCATCGTAAGCGTTGCCGTATCGATGTGCGTGCCATCACTTACACTGATTTCGAACTCATCTTGTAAGATATCAGAGCCATCATGGACGTAGTAAAAAGTATTGCTCGTAACTTCAGCATGTGTGAAACTGTCAGCTGTAATGCAATATTTCGGGGTGAAACAAGCATGAAGTCAAAAGCAAAGTATCACAAAAAATCAATCAGTTTATTTCCTGTAAAGATTTTTGTTATTAATTATAAGTTATTAATTAAAAAATTCTTGCCACTCACAGAATTGTGCTTTTTAGGTTCACCAAATTTTCATTTGTCTTAAGATTTTTTCAATGCTAATTTTGGCTTTGATGAATGAGATCAACACTGAGGGTTAGTGGTGTGATGAACATCAACTTCTGATAGCCTCCACAGTCATGAATTACAGATATCTACATCTGTATTGCATGGAAAAAACCTCAGTAGGCAATGTGTTAAAATATGGCATTTTTGACCACAGATACATCTCTACATTTATGTAAGCATATGCACTACTGACAGAACAAATACAGTACATACATGTATGTATTATAAACCCTTGATTGTATCCAATGGTCTTTCCCAGGGTGC